TGGAACTAGCCTAGCACTTGACGAGATCGATTCCCGTGGTCACAGGCTACTTAGCTAATTAGCGCCCCAGAGCACGGAGCGTTGGAAACTGATCTGGTCTGCCGCATTGATCAGGGCAACATGGAAGTTGTTCTACGGAAGATGTTCTAGTCCGTGCTGAATGGACCACTTTATGGGCACTCCGAAACGAGTGTAATGTAGCTTTCCCGCCTCAAAACCTTGTCGTGTGAATATACCGCATTTCATCCGATCTACCCGATGCGATTCCAGCCACATAGGATATGAAGACGACTTTCTGCTCCATGCTGAACGAAGCATCTCATGGGCACTCTGAAACGACTTAGTAGCTTAGCCGCCTCCAAACCTTGTGTGAACAGACCGCGTTTCACATGATCTGACCCGATCTGATTGCCGTCAACACAGGGCATGAAAACAATCTTCTGCTCCGAGCTTGACGACAACGGTTTCGACTGGGTAGCCAACAAGATCAAGAACAGAGTCGGCACCGGCCCGGTGTACCTGAGCTTGGACATCGACGTCGCCGACCCAGCGTTTGCTCCTGGAACGGGAACACCGGAGGCAAGTAGTGGCCCTTGGTGTGCACAGCTTAAACGCGCGTCGGCACAACGTTCAGCGTCTTGATACTTTTTTTGCACGGGGTTGACGTCCGTTGGTGCAAAGTCAGCGTGTTAAGACTGCTGGTACATGATTGTCGCCAGTAGACTACACGTCACAATTGCAAGGTATTGTGGGCAACAAACAGCACCTTCACGAAAACATGCTGTAATAGAACGGGAGGAACTTAAATTGATTATCGGGGGATGTTGTAGAGCTGGAAGCGGAAGAGTTTGCTGTTTTTCTGGCTTCCGGAGAAATATTCGTTCGTCGCGAAGCGATCGTTCATGAAACGGGGCGCACGCGTGCAACTTGAGTGGTTGCAACCCACGGATCAGTCTTCCGGCAGCCTACACATCTTTGTGCTTTTCTTCTTTCTTTCTTTCTTGTTCTCCATGCCCTCTCAACGATGATCTTGGACGATACCTCGAGCTCCTTGTTATTTTTGTTTTTTCCTTTGATGGCTGCCTGCCACCTCTGCTGCCTCTTTGGTGCGGTGCCTACCCTACACTAATGCGCTGGTGCATACTGCACTGCTGTAGTACCTGGTACTGGTGTACGTTGTCCTTCGATTTTTTATTTTTTTTTGGGGAATATATATGTGTTTGTTTTTCGCCCCCCGTCTTGCTGCACCCCCTGGGGTGTGGTGCAGGGCGGGGGATGCCTGGTCGGCGGGAACCCGGCACGGAACCCTCCGGCGTTGTAGGCGGGTGTGGGAAGCGTTCCCCGTTCTCCTTTTATTTTATTTTGATTGGTCTCCTCGACGCTCTTTCTCGTTTGGTGCGGTAGCTGGTCTTTCTTTCTATCATTTTGTTTCTCTTCCGAGTGGTTTTTGTACCCTATTTTTTTCTGTTTCTTCGTGGGGTCGTGTATGCCGGGTTTTGAGACCACGGGCTCCCAATTTTGTTTTTTAGAGCTAATGTGAGAAACAACAACAACAACAACAACATCCTCAACCCTCCACATCCATCCCCGAACACGTCAAAAGCGCCAAGAAGTCCC